GTCTCGTTCCCTCGAGGAACCATGGTTACATGCATAACCTGAGACGTTCCTCTTCAGGAACTCGAGTTGCGTCTGAGAACGCTTTGCGAACGAGTATGCCCATGCCGCCAGACTTTCAAATCTCTGCCTAGTGTGGAAGCCTGCTCAGCTAGGGCGAGAGAACAGAAGAGCCCGGAGTGGCTCGCATATCTAGGCCATAGAACCTGACAAAGGTTAGGGGCGTGGACCATCCCGCAGCATTGCAGATGTCCTGCATAGAGTCACCTGCTAAGAAGGCCTTGGAGGCCGCCACACTTCTCGAGTGAGCCTTGACCCCTAGAGGCGAAGGGAGATCAGAAGACTCATAAGCGATAGAGATGGCATCTACTATCCACCGACTGAAGGTCTGTTTTGTAGCTGGAATACCTCTCTTAGGGGGACCACAACAAACAAGCAGTTGGCCCACCCTTCTCCACAGGGCAGCTCTGTGGACGTATGCGTCCAGTGCTCGCACTAGACACATACAATTAAGCTTCTGCTGGTCTGGCTCCCTGGAGGGAGGAGGACTGAAGGCCTGGAGTATGACAGGCCGTGGTGTAGAGGAGGGGACGTTAGGAACATACCCCGCTCGAGGGTACAGAAACGCTTTGGCCAGACCGGGCGCAAAGTCGAGATAGGAAGGGCCCACTGAGAAGGCAGGCAGATCCCCAACTCTTTTGAGAGAAAATATCGCCAGAAGAAAAGTAGTCTTGATAGTGAGGTGGCGATCCAAGATCTCCTTGATAGGCTCGAAGGGAGGCCTATAGAGAGCTTCTAGCACCACAGCCAGGTCCCATGGAGGGACATGAGATCGTACCAGAGGCCTCAGCGCACCATGGAGGAAACGTGTAACTAGGGGGTGTCTGCCCACTGACTGGCCACCCGAGAGGGGCGTGGTAGGCCGCAATGGCCGCCACGTAGATCTTCAGGGTGGAGTGGGTCAACCCTGCAGAGAATCGGGCCTGCAGGAACTCCAGCACTGTACGAACCGGGCAGTTAACTGGGTCGAGCTGGCGGTCTCCGCACCATGAAGTAAAAAGTTTCCATTTCAAGGCATACAGTTTCCTCGTTGAGGGAGCACTGGATTGGAGGATGGTCTCAACAACCTCGGTTGAGAGACTGGAAGATATGAGCTGTGCCCCCTCAGGGGCCACACCCACAATTTCCACAGCTCTGGGCGGGGGTGGATGATTGAACCCTCCGCCTGAGAGAGGAGATCTCTCCTGATGGGAATCTCCCATAGAGAGCCGTCAAGGAGAGAAATCAGGTCCGAGAACCATACTCGGCCCGGCCAGAACGGGGCTACTAGCAGAAGACGGACCCCGTCCCGGCACACTCTCTCCAGAACTCCCGGAAGCAGAGCGATCAGGGGAAAAGCGTACAGACGAAGCCTCTGCCACGTCTGTACCATGGCATCCAGCCCCAGTGGAGCTAGATGAGTCAGAGAGAACCAGAGGGGACAGTGCGATGTCTCTCGAGTCGCAAACAGGTCCACCTGAGCCTGGTCAAAAACTCTCCATATCTGCTTCACGACATCAGAGTGAAGCATCCATTCCCCGGGCCTCGGCCCCTGCCTCGACAGGATGTCTGCTCCCATATTGATATGCCCAGGAATGTGAACTGCTCTCAGCGAGAGGAGTTTGCCCTGGGACCACACAAGGATCTGGTACGCTAGTTTGTACAAACGGCGTGAGCGCAGACCTCCCTGGTGGTTGATGTAAGAGACCACCGCTGTGTTGTCAGTGCGCGCCAAAACATGGTGACCTCTTAGGTCTGGGAGAAAGTGTCTCCGTGCTCGAAACACGGCCAGCATCTCCAGGCAGTTTATATGCCATGTCAGATGGCGACCACTCCACAGACCTCAGACAGGGTGGCCACTCATGACCGCACCCCAACCGGTGTGGTACGCGTCTGTCGCTAGCGTTACGCAGTGACAGGGAGCTCCCAGCACCAGGCCCTGAGACAAGAACCAAGGTTTCCTCCACATGTCCAAGGCACGTAGGCATCGCCACGTGACCTTGATCATGCGAAGCGGGTTTCCCCTCGGGGAGAACCCCTTGGTCTTGAGCCACCACTGTAAGGGTCTCATGTACAGCAGGCCAAGATGTACCACGTTGGACGCAGCTGCCATCAGACCCAGCAGTCTCTGAAACTGCTTGACAGAGAGTGCCGGCGGCCTTCTCTGACTCTCACGACTGCGGTGAGGATCGACTCGAGCCGAGCAGGGGACATACGTGCCTGCATTGTGGTCGAATCCCAGACCACGCCTAGATAAGTGGTTCTCTGTAATGGAGAAAGCACACTTTTCTTGGCGTTTAGTCTTAACCCCAGCTCTCTCACGTGGGCGAGAACAACATCCCGATGTCGAACCACCGTCTGCTCTGATTGAGCTAAAATCAACCAATCGTCGATGTAGTTGAGTATGCGGATGCCCTGGAGTCGCAACGGAGCCAGGGCTGCATCCACACACTTTGTGAAAGTGCGGGGTGAGAGTGCAAGGCCGAAAGGAAGAACCCGATATTGGTATGCTTTGACCCCAAAAGCAAACCTCAGGAACTTCCTGTGAGTGGGAAGGATGGATACATGGAAGTATGTGTCTTTTTGATCAATCATGACAAACCAGTCCTCGGACCTGATCTGAGACACGACCTGTTTGAGTGTGAGCATTCTGGACTTCAGTCTCATGACTAAGCGGTTCAACTGACACAGATCTAAAATGGGACGCAACCCTCCATCCTTCTTTGGAACTATGAAGTACCGGCTGTAGAACCAGGACTCCTTTTTGTGAGGAGGGACCACCTCGATGGCCTCCTTCCTCAAGAGCTTGTCTACTTCCTGTTCCATGACCAGAGCCTGCTCCGGGCCCTCCAGTGTGGGAGTAATCCCGTTGAAACGAGGCGGTGGAGAACCGAACTGGATTTTGTATTCTCTCTCTGCAGTGTGCAGGACCCACTGAGACACATTTGGCAGTAGTTTCCACGCTGCCAAATAGTCTACTAAGGGAATCAGTCTCTCGAGACTGACCTCTGGTGTAATCAGAGCAGTTAGCTCGGTGCCCTGTAATGGCGGACCGGCAGGGGATGGCCGAACCAGCTGCTCTAGAGACCTCCGCGGAGGTGGCGAGCCTCTTATCACTGCTATGTTCCCGGGCGGTGACTGAGAGTGGCGCTCGCGGGAGACCACTTGCGCCCCATAACTCCGGCAGGGTTGGCAGACCGATCTCCTGAGGGCACTGAGGCGAGACGGACACCGTGTAATGCGGTGTAACCCGCTCCACCCCAGAAGGGCCTGCCCTCATATGTCCTGGGCCAGTACGGTCCGCAGATCCGGCTTAGACTTCGAGGCCCCTGACCGTGAGGCGACGCTCTGTTTTTGTGCCTCCCTGTATGAGGAGCTGGTACTCAGAGGGGGCTGCTCCTGCCCGGCAACCCCCAGAGCTAGAGAGCGGCGAGGGAGGAACCGCTGGAATGCCGCCGCCTGTTTACGAGCCTCCTGGTACCTGTTGACGACGGAATAGATGGCGTCGCCAAACAGGCCAGAAGGCGCAAGCGGGGCATCCATGAGGCATACCCTGTCCTTCTCTTTCATATCTGACAGGGTCAGCCACAAATGCCTCTCTGCCGCCACCATAGCTGCCATAGACCTGCCGATGGCACGGGAGGTCTCCTTGGTGGCACGGAGAGACAAATCAGCGGTCCTCCTAAGCTTAGTAATATCCTCAGATTTTACCTGCTCACCCTCATATAGCTCTTTGAGCAGGTCGGCTTGGTATGCCTGTAACACTGCCATGGTGTGCAGACACGCACCAGCCTGACCCGCTGCCGAGTACCCCTTGCTCACCAGGAGAGACGCTCGCAATGCGGGCGTTTACTCAGCATGCTCCGCTCCAGGGTAGACAACGCACAAACTGTGTGTATCCCCACCCGTAATGTAACGAGGAACACACAGCCTGAAACGCTGCCTACCCTCGCCCTTGAGGTGTTTGGTTTTGTCTTGTGCTTTTGACATATTTTGTGACAAACACTAAATAAGACTCACAAACATATATCAGAATGACACACACACAGAGCGCTTGCTGAATGACAGAAAGCTGACGCCGGTTTCACCGCACGTGCTTTTAAGCTTCCTGGTCGCTACGTCACCCCGCCCGTGACGTCTCGCCCATCCATTGGACTGATTACTCACAAACATATATC